TTGCAAGCTGGTCGCGCATAGGGCTAGTGCGCGAGGGACTCGGACCGGAAAAACAAAAGCCGAGCAACACGAGCAGAGCAGAAAAAGGATTGAATAATTAATACAATTAATCATCATCCTATACATTATATCTAAACCCATCATTTATCTTAGGAAGCCTAGAAACAGTGTTTTAATCTGACAGTGTTAGGGATTAGCAGTTTCTTACACACCTAAGTTGCTTACTTTTGCCAAGACTACACTATAATAAACTTTATTATAGCCTATAACAACCTGCTCTAGCACTATAGAGTAGAGTACAGCTTAGAATATTATTTAGATACTACTTCTACTTCTTACTTACATGTTTGCACGTTATGCCTAGTCTAATTGCACTGTTTGTAGCACCTTTAGGATTACTTACCTACTTTAGCTTACACTTGCTTCTTTACCTTCTTCCTGTCACTGCGCGCTCTAACCTCCTTTAGAGCTGTTAAGCGCAGGCCTTTCTAAATGTAGCTGCCTTATTAGCTACTTAAGCTTAGTAATTTTCTATTACACTAACACTAGCTTATGTATAGTTATTGCTGCCCTTTTTAAGGCTTTTTTTCTAGAGACATTACCCCCCTATAACTCTCTCTATACATAGAGCTACTTGTAACACAACTAATATCTACTAGAGATTGCTGCCTGCTGCTGTAATCTACTGTAGTTTGCTGCAATTTACTATAGTTTACTGTAATTTACTATAGTTTACTGTAATTTACTATAGTTTACTGTAATTTGCTGTAGTTTACTGCAATTTACTGTAGTTTACTACAATTTACTATAGTTTACTTTATGCATCTCTTAACACTAGTAGGCAATCTCTTACTAACACCTCTAGGCATTAGCCTATTATATTTAAACAGTAGTTAAAGAAGCTAAACTAGCAGTTATGTAAGTAAAACAGCTTGTTAAGGTATTACATGTACTACATTAATCTTTGCAGCGATAGAGAGGCAGAGGCAGAGGCAGAGGCAGAGGCAGCGCTAGAGCTCCCTAGCACTCTAAGAAATTCCTGTAGAGGCAATAAAATACATAAGCTAAGGCTCTACAACTAGGGCTTTAATGCTAAAACAATTAAATTAAGAATATTAGGTAGCAGTATTAGGCATAGTGTAGCAGTATTAGGCAGTAAAAGGAACAGGCGCAACATGTAATAAGGTAGGCACAGTTAACCACATAGCCTTCTCTTGCTTATAGAGGTTTAGGCTAGACTAGAGACAACTGCTAGTGCTAGTGCTAGCTCTAGCATTATCTATATATATATTATACTATGCAAGAATACTTAGCTTAAGTATTCTTATACGTACTTTTTAGTACAGTAGGGAAAGTTGCATAGTATTAGCTTAGCAGGCAGGGTGTCTACCTTATTACACAACGCTAGAGACTGCAAGGTGTAAAGAGGAGGATGTAAGAGGTATTAAGCAGGAAACATAGGTTATAGAGAGGGAATGCAGGATAGGGGGGTAACAAGAGAGAGTAAACCTTAGGGTTAGAGGCAGAGGTACAGAGGCTAAGGAGCCTATATACCCTGTGCTAAGCCCTTAGGGTACTTAGAGGTTAGATAGCTGTAACATAACTATAATAAAGAAAGACTATTATAAAAGCAGAAACGCGTTAAGAGCTAGAGCTAGCTATTATTTATGTTTTTAGCTATATTAGTGTGTTAGTAATTAGTTACATGCTATAGTTAAATGTTATTATTATATATCTATTACCTGTCTAATAATACTTTGCTAATGTAAGGCTAAGATAGTGCTTATGTGCAATAGGTATATATACTATTCTGTACATAATAATTAACTGTTAGTTAATTATTTACACCTTTTTAGTTGTATTAGCGTAGTAGTATAGAGCTCTATCCTTACATAATAATTAACTAACAACAAGGACAGTTGCGCGTTTAACCTACACCTTAGACAGCTTAGCTAGTTTTTAGACTAAAACATAAAGCAGCCTCTTCTAGCGCCACGTTGTAGCTGCTAGGAGGTCTAGTGTGTATAGCTTAGCTAGCGTGGGCCACTAAGTGTTGTTATTTATCCCGCGCCTCTAGGCCGCAGGTGGTCAGCCTCTGGCCGGTAACCGAGACATGCGCATAGGCGCCTCTAAGCTGCGGGTAGGTCATGTGACGCCTGGGACATGCGTCTGCTAAGAAGGGGGATAATGTAAGGCTAAGATAGTGCTTACATGCAACAGGTATATATACTATTCTATACATAATAATTAACTATTAGTTAATTATTTGCACCTTTTTAGTTGTATTAGCGTAGTAGTACAGAGCTCTGTCCTTATAAGTATTATGCTGTAACTATTCTTTAACCTAGACAACTTACTTTAATGCGCTAACTATTACTGTTGCGTAAGAAAAGCACAGGGACCTTGCGTCGCGCACATAGGCTTAGTGTCGCGCCTGTGTTTTAGACAAGCAGCCTAAGACACTTAGCGCCTAAGCTCTCTATAAGCCTTTTATAGTTAATAGACTTGCTTTTTATTGCTCTTTAATTAGCAGTTACAACAATTACTCTAAGCAAGCTTTGCTTTTACAGATCATTTATAAACTGTTGTAGTATTTTACTTATAATTAAACTTTATTATAAACTTAGAGCAGTGCTTAACCTACATACTAGGCTAGTTTAAGCTAACCTAGCCTAGATTATGCTCTGCGTGTAAAGAATTAGCTATATTAGCTATAGCTATAAGCTTAAAAAGAAATCTGTGTGTAATAAGCTTAAGTATGTACTTAATAACTACCTTTTTTTTAAGCTTAGTTAGATTCTTTAATTTAAGCTAGTATTCTACTTTTAAAGGCTATCTAGCGCGTTAATTACTTAGTGTTATGTAAAAGACATTATAGATAGCTATAGCGCGTTATAAGAAAAGTTTTAAGTTTTATTTAAAAGCTTAAAAAGTAAGCTATATTTAACATTCTTTAGAAGATTTAATCTAGTGTTGTTGTTAAGGCATTATGTAGATAGGTAGAGTGTAGTAGGGGCTTAGCAAAAGTAGCTGGCCAACCTGTGTAGCCGGCCAACCTGTTAGGTACGTTATAGCTTACACTTTATGCTTTTAAATAAAACATAAAACTTTTAAAAAAATATGCTATAGCTATGTGTAAAGTTTTATAAAAGATAATAAATAACTATAGCACTAGATAACATTTACAAGCTGATTCTACAGCTAAATTATAAAGGCTAGGTAATAAAAAAAAGCAGGTAATTATTAAGACTATACTTAAGCTATATGCGCAAGGAATTTCCCCTTAAATAGCATTTATAGCTAATATAGCTAATTCTTTATACGCTAAGCGTAATCTAGGCTATATTTACATAAACTAGCTTAGTACATTTATAAAGCGTTATTTAAAGCTTAAAGTAAAGTTTTAAGTGTAAGTATAGTTAAAAAATATTTAGCTAATTATAAAGCCTATCTTACTAAAGTTGTACATGTTATTATCTTAGATGCTATACTTAGCTTTAATATTTTTTATAAGGCTAAGCTTGCTTTAAATTACTTTAAGACTTTTATAAAAAGCTCTTTTATAGTTATACTTACGCTTAAATGTTACTTTAAGCTCTAAATAACGCTTTATAAATGTACTAGGCTAGTTTATGTAAACATAGCCTAGATTACGCTTAGCGCGCAAAGAATTAGCTATATTAGCTATAAATGCTATTTAATAGGAAATTCCTTGCGCATATAGCTTAAGTATAGTCTTAATAATTACCTGCTTCTTTTTATTACCTAGCCTTTATAATTTAGCTGTAGAATTAGCTTGTAAAGGTTATCTAGTGCTATAGTTATTTATTGTCTTTTATAAAACTCTACACATAGCTGCAGCACATTTTTTTTAAGAGTTTTATGTTTTATTTAAAAGCTTAGAGCGTAAGCTAGATTTAACATTCTTTTAGCGTGTCTAAGTAGTGTTATAGGGAATTCATTAGTGTAGGAAGGGTGGTTTAGTAGGGTCTTGGCAAAAGTAAGCAACTTAGGTGTGTGAGCAACTCGCCCGTGAAGTACGTTAGTTTAACTACTCTTATAATTATACCTTCTAGATACTTGTAAGCAATTTAGGATAGGATTTAGGCTAGTATTAGACGTGTAAGTTCTATGTATAACTGTGTGTATGCCTAAGTTACATCTTACAACTATAATCTTATTTTAGCTTTTATTAGAGCTAATATAATTGCTAAGATTAACTATTAGCTAGCTTGTTAGATAGTAAGTGCTTAGGTTAGGATTAGTTTCTTGTCACTATTAGAGTATCCTTGTATAACTAGTCATGATTTCTTATATAGATTTTCTGTGCTAAGCCCTTTAACTTCGCGAACTATGCGCGCATTGAAAATCTAGGTATCTTTGTATTAGCTCTAATTGTGCTCCTTAAACATAAATACTCCTTTGTCTAGGAGAGCTTGGATCTCTGTTTAGTCTAATATTTTAAATAGTTTACTAGGTGTAGTAATCTTGCCTATTCTTTGTAGTTGTTTTGCCTCCTCTTAATGCTATATTTCCTTAGAGCTTATAAACGTGTCGGTTGCTTCTAGGAGGGGGTACTTCCTTAGTCTTCCTTGTTTCCTCTGTGCTGGTTGTGCTCCAACTGTGTTCGAGTTTTGGCTAGATTCCTCGGGTCTGGGTGGATCTGGTGACGTCTTCTGGAGTCCAGTTGGGTTCGGATCTGTTTCGGAGTCTAAAAGGGGGTCTTCTAGGTAGGGTCTTACAACTATTGATTTAAATGGAACAGGTCCTTGCAGTGTGTTGACAATGCACGTTTCCCCTTTTATACCTATTAATTTGAATGGTCCTGTCTATCCCTTGTTTTCTCTCTAAACCTGTACATTACTTTGTAAGGCTAGTTCCTTGATTGGAGTTGTATCGGGTCCGTTTTGGGTTGCTAATACTAGTGAGACTTGTGTCTTAGCGTGTATTCTTTTAATCTCCTGCATAGCTTTCCGGATTGCTTCCGCTCTTGTGTAGATATTAGGGGATGGAGGTGACGTTTCTGTTATTTGTAGATATGCTCCAAATACAAGCAGAGTAGGTACTAATCCATCAGGGCCAGCCGTATCGTTTACTGCCTTCACTACAGCCTGTAGGGCGTTTTCTATGGTCATGTTCGGAGCGCATTCGGACTAGATTATGTCGAAAGCCCTTCGTAGTGCTGCGTGAGCTCGTTCCACCTTTTCTACACTATTGTGTGCCTCTACTAGTACCTCTTTTATCTCAATTGCTATCAAGGAAGCCTTCGCGCGAAACTCTAAAGAGGTGAAATTCTTTCCAGCGTCATACTAAAGGGTTTTGGGGGGCCCTAGGTAGCTATCGATCCAGCATTCGCGCAGCGTATTCTATACTGTTTTTGTTATTTAATCCTTAAGAAATCTTGCTACTTGGAAGCTTATAGCTGAATCTATAGCGTGTATAGCAGCTTGGCCACCTAGGTATAGGATATCGATGATAACCTCGCAGTTGAAATTGAACTCTCTATTGTCTTTTAGTCGGAATCGGAACCTACTCGGAGCGGAATTGGATATTTAGCATCTATGGCATCGCCTTGTGATTCGTTTTAGTACATCTCTATCAATTGTTTCTTCTAGCAGTGCTCGATTAAGCAAGTTCTCAAGCTTTTTGATTAATGGGTGCCTAAAACGTCTGTAGAGTTGCTGTAGTTTAGTTTTCGTGAGATGCGCAGCTGCTATCTCCTCGTTTCTATCTAGAAGTATCTATGGGTGACCCCATTTGCGTACGATAGGGATCCAATTGTATCCCTGTACAATTTCGTTTTTGAGATTATTAAGCCTTACACCCAGCCGATCTATATCGGCTAGGTATAGTAGAAAAGGAGTTCTTGCTGGTACTACGTGGAAGGTAATTGGTCCGATTGGGGTCCGAATCTGCGCAGTTCCTAGAGATGTTGCACATCCTTTTCTAAATCGAATATTGTGGAGTCCTGCGTTGTTCGTGTTTAGTTGTACCGTTTGTATCTTCTGTAGGGCTTAAAACTATTCTTATCCTGCTGTAGAGATATTGGCGGCTCTACTATTAGGTAGAATGCTCTAGAAGGTATTAGAAGAGTATTGGTGCGGATTCGGAGTGGGTACGTTATTAAGGTTGTTGGGGTCGTGTTTCGTGAATTGATGGAATACAGCGTTGTCTTCTAGGAGTGTAACTAGTTGGACACCATTGACGGATTCGTTTAGGGCGCTTGTAAAGAATTGCTCGTCTTCTTCTTTATAGTTGTTGTCAAGGTTGTGATAAGTGATTAGTTGATCCATGTAAAGGTTGTCCTTATTATTGTCTTCTATGTTAGTACCTTTATACTCGTATAGGAATTGTTTGAACCTTTTCCACCCTATATTAGAGTGGTTTCGGAAGCTTTAATAGCTGTGTTGTCTTTCCTCTAGTGTGTGTTTGGTTGACTAACAGCCTACTTTCTTGTATATAAAACATTTCTTTGTCCTACTAATCCAACGGGTATCGGATCTGTTTTAGTTAAACTTAGGTTTGGAAAACTTTTTGAACTTCTCCCTGTTTTTGCTATACATTCTGTCTGTCTAGAATTGGTAATCCTTATCGTCTTCGTCTCTATTGGTAGGGAGATACTACAAGAAGGACTGACTGGTTGTACTTTTCTTTGTCCTCTCTAAGGTTCTAATAGAGGTCTGAAGTTCGTTGTATAGTGCTGTGTACGTAGTCGCGGGCTTGTATAAGGCGAGGTTGCATTCTGATACGCCTTGACAGGCTTGTAGAAGTTGATCTCTGATGGCGTCCTCTGTCTGTACTGTTGGATTGAGCCCTTTCTAGATTGTGTATAATTTGTTGATAACTAGCTCTAAGTATTCTAATAGTGTCTTATCCAGATTCGCTCCAATAGTGTCCTAAAGGGACATAGTCTGCCATTCTCGTAGATACCGTTGCTTGTTCTCTACACTATGGAATCGTTTAGATATTTTCTTGACAAGTTGTTCGAAATCTAGATTCTTGCCGAAGAGGTAATCGTAATAGTACTATTTTGCCTTACCCTTAAGCATAAACGAGAAGGCTCTCGGCTAGCCTGTAGGAGGTAATGCCGATTAGGTGTAGTTGTCGTAGAATACTGGTAGTTTTGCGTCCAGAAAGTCGTACGATTCCCCTCTAAATTGGGCTGTACTGTCGTTCGCATAACACTTCCCGACTAGCGCAATTTCCTTAGTTCATTTAGGGGGAATTGGCGTTGCCCTGTAAGGTACGGAGCTGTATTGGGTTGGTATTGGAGCAGGGGTTTGTTGCGGTCTCGGTTGAGGAGTTGGTGGGTGCCAATGTGAAGCTCCAGCCCTAGGGATGTCCTCTGATATCGTTGGTGTTGACATTCTCGGCTCGCGTGACGTATTCCGTGTTTGAGAGTTATGGGGCGCATATTCAGGTGTGTATCGGTGCTGATTCGGAACAGGCGAGTTAGTTTCCCTGGGTGCAAACGGGACGTAGCTAGGCTGAGGGTATAGTGGCGTATTCGCTTCCTGGTATCGTGGGGATCTTTCGTCGTACTAGGAATTCATGATTTTCTTATCCTTCTGTTTGCGGAGCTCTATCGGATCCCATTCGGGCATGTTATCGAGGTTGTTGAGTTCTGCCAACTTTGCAGCGATCAGGGATTTGTCCATTTTCACATATACACCGTTTTGTCGTAGGAAATCGCGTAGGATCCGATTAATATCCGCATTCGCCAGTCGAAACGTTGCTTCTTCCCATCCTAGGAAGTCTACAACGAAAGCGTCGAAAAGTTCAAAGTCGCAATATTCGTATTTGGTGTATTTGTAAATGTTGTACCGGATGTACGTGTTCAAGTGGGCCGGAGAGGGTTCCGAATCTGGTCCGATATTGATGGGTTCGCCCCAAACGGTTGGGTCGACTATTCCTTCAAGTTCTAGAGGAATTGTGAAGAGCATGGTGGCTATTTCGGATCAGTTTCGGATTCTTATCGATGGCGATCGTGCTCTTTGAGTTCTGGGTGGCTGTTTTAGAACGAAACAGGGGTATTGTTGGGCTATCGTCGAAGGTGATAGTCGAGTTAGTGTCCTTGTATCGCTGTCGTAGAGTAGCTGATGAGTTTTGGTGTGAATTGCTAGTAAGAGACTCCGAGATACTATACTAAAGTGCTGATACCTGCAATTGGAACACTATCCAACTAGACTTAGAGGTTCCTTGCGTGATGGACGCAACTCTAAGATGCTGTACTAGAGTCTTCGAAAGCCGAACAGGCAATCCTGAGATGCTGTACTAGGATTTCCTATTTTCTTCCGTTAGCGCAGAGAGATGCTATACTTCTGCCTCTTCTTGCATTGGTACTTTGCTAATCTGTGGATAGTCGGATGAGTATAGGACCATACTCGGATGAGAATCCACTAATTAGTGTTGGTATTACCAAGGTATGGTTCGGGATCGAGATCTCGATAAGATAACGAAAGGAAAACACTACTGTATAGTAACTATTAATTGATTTATTAATTGCTTGATTACTTCCCTAACTATAAGTATGTATATATACATATCTTGTAGGGAGAGTGTTAGTATGACTTGTAGGTACCGAGGCGCTGTATTAGGTCTGTATCGGATGTGTATCGGAGGCTCATCAAACCTAGTTCGATGATCCTCCTTCTCCTATGCTTATTGATATTCCAACACTATAATAGATAGTAATAAGTATTAATTCTTTTTTATAACTTTATTTAGTTCTCTATAGTCTATATATAGTTACTATTTTCTATTCTTCTTTTTAATAAATAAAATTAGTACTACTAGTAAGTTTTAGCTCTTTTAAATATACTTCTATACTAGATTCTTCTTAATATATTATTATAATTTCTCTATCTAGCCTTCTATTATTAGGTATAAATAACTTTGTCAGATATGCGCACCTACTGTCAAGACAGGAGGAACGTTTGACGAAAGCTGCTACATAGTACGAGCAATAAGCTCGAACAGTATGTTGCTGCAAATTGCTGCATGTTGCAGCATTTTGCAGCATTTTGCAGCATGTTGCAAGCTGGTCGCGCATAGGGCAAGTGCGCGAGGGACTTGGATCGGCAAAACAAAAAGCTGAGCAACACGAGTAGAGCAGAAAAAGGATTAATAAATTAAGGCAATTAATCATCATCCTATACATCATATCTAAACCCATTATTCATCTTAGGAAGCTAAGAAATAGTGCTTTAATCTGACAATTAAGAGTCTTAGTGCCTCCATTAATACAAAATGGCCACCCAGCCTCCTCAAGACGCGACAGTCGTCCTTCGAGACCACACCGACTACAGAGCCTGGATGATGCAGCTGCAATTGAGATGTGTAGCGCACAGCATCTGGCCGCAAGTGGATCCTAAGTTGACCATCTAAATAATCTCTAAACCAAGAGCTCTAGAGATGCCGCTAATAGCTAAGTTTTTACTAGCCTCTAATGTTAAAACGCTTACGCACATAAACAAGCTATTAACAAGCAGTATTAGAGCCTTTAAAGAAGCTATTAAATACTACAAGATTAAGGCTAACAAGTATAAGAGTAATAGACATAATTATAAAAGAGAGCAATTAAGCTTTTAACAGATTATTATCTTTATCTAGTTAATAGTTAGCCCGCATCTGCAGTGTACATGCTGTTCCCTAGATTAACTACTTAGACAGTAGATTATAAACTTTAAAGCTATAGTAAGTGTTAACAACTAATTTAAACAAAAACATGTGTGTAACTAATATACTGCATTTTTAAAGCTGCTAAAAAACGTAAGCATATAGGACCTATAGCTAGCAGAGTATAATTACGCTGCTATAGAAGCAGAGACATAAAATGTTCTAGAAATAACGCAGTTTAATGCTGTTACAAAGGACTTTCTAACTACTATAAATAAAGTTACCCCTTATTAGTTTATAACCTTTTAGAAAAGCAGACAGTTTGCACTAGACATAAATTAAAAAGAAATAATAAAGCGCTTTTAAAAACATATAATGTTAAATTATTTAATACATATAAAAAAGCATAAAGCTGCCTTTACAACAGATAACTTATTATACTTTACTAAAAGTAAGAAAACTACCTAGAGCATAAATAAAAACACCTATAGTGTAAAAGTTATAATGTTAAGAAAATAGAGTAAACTTTAATATTAACATTATTAAAAAAATAATAAAAAGTTATTTTTAAGCTAGAAACCTGCTAAAACAGGAGGCACTAAATGTTCTGCATGTAGACACATTTATGCACCAAAGAACTGCTTCTATGTCTATTTAGACAGAGCACTAGACTAGTAGATGCTAAATAAAAAAGTTAAAAAGCTTATAGCATTAAAGTGTAAGCACAACTTAAAATTTTAAGGCCTACTTAAAGGGCAGCGTAGACATAATTTAAGAATACTAACTTTAAAAAGTTTATATACACCTATGCTAGAGATACAAGAAGACTAACTTAAAGGCTAGAAAGTATTAAGAATTAAGGCAGCTACATTGCTAGCTATAGTTAATTTAAACTAGAATAGATATCTACTAAAAAAATTATTTATCCTTAACTTAGGCTTAATATGCTATATTACAAATAATTTTAATTAAATCTATAACTATTATTTACTAACACTAAAAGACTTTATCTAGTCTAGAAACTTTTATATATAGATTTAAAGCTATAAATTAACTACACTAAGCTTAAAAAGTAAGCATAGAACATATAGTTAAGTATATAGTCTTATACTACATAATGTTGCACTGTGCCTAGACCTGCTGTGCAACCTAGTCTTGTTCTGCCTACTGTAATAGAAAGGAATTTAGTAGGACACATAAGTAAAGCTAACTGCTTTAAAGGCCCTAGATAAGATAATAATTAGAGATCTCTTAGAAATCTATAGCTAATAGGTGTTAGAGTACTATCTACTATAAAAGGGCTTATATTATACACATATAATTAACACAAGAACTAAATATAGTCTATAAAAGGCATTAGTAAAGCTATAGCATAAGTGTTTAGAACACCTTAGACTAGCTACACTTAAACACTTTATATAATAAGCTAAAAGAGTGTAAATTAAAGAAATTAAAACAGTCTAATATAACTTATATAGTAGAGCTAAGATATAATAATAAATTAGCTGCGCACTATAAATTAGCAATAGTAGACCTAGTAAGAAACTGTTAATTAATTTCTATGCATATAAAGCATAAAGCATTATAAAAAAGTAGAGTTAAATGCTAATTACTAATAAGTATTCTAGCCTCTAGTAGGACCTTTACTTTAAAAATAATAAGCCTGCTAAATTAATTATTAAAGCTTTTATAATTTTTATTTTTTTTCTAAAGAACTATTATAATATTACTATAAAAGTTATTAAAGCTAATAACAAGATTATAATAGTAAAACTAGAGGTAAAACGCTAGCTAGCATTGCATAGAATAACTATTAAGCCTTTAGCACTAGATACATAAGCCTAGAACAGAGGAGCTAAACGCTTAATGTAACGGCGCAGGCAAGACAATGGGTCCAAATGCGGTATGAATCCACTCAGAGGCATATGGGAGTGCGTGGGGACTCAGAGACCTGGGAATACCAATGACAATGTAACGGCGCAGGCAAGACAATGGGTCCGAATGCGGTATGAATCCACTCAGAGGCATATGGGAGTGCGTGGGGACTCAGAGACCTGGGAATACCAATGACACCTATAGGCCTTGTACGTAGGATATCAGAAAACTACCGAGCTAGCTACAGGGGCGAGGTGCGACTAAATACATGAGGGAATAGGGGCAACTGCGGGGGACTGGGTCGAGTCATGGTCGGGGCCGATACGGGGATCCTTCGGATAGGATCCGAGCGACCCGAGATGGAACGATTCGTAGAATCGTTACACTTAAAAGGTGTAAATAAGAAAAAGTTATAGGCTATGCAACTAAATGCTAACCTACTATAGAATATATAGCTATATATTACTAGAGCTAGCGTATACCTATATAATTAGACGCTAAACTATGCTAATAACTAGAAGACACTATATAAGATCTTTGTGACGGTGCTGCTTGTCAAGCTCCGCTGCTAGTCACATGATCTCGCTAAGGGTTAAGCGAGCGCGCTAGCGCCTTGGCGCTGCGCAAGCTTTTCTCTCGCGAAAACCCTTCGCCTCCTTCACTCCCCATCCTAGTTTAGCTGAAATAGAGCCGACCTACTCTGCCATGCTTCCCCAGCTCCATACGGTAGTAGAGACAGTGCTTGTCATCACATTAAACTAGGATCAACCCCATTTCGGCCGGAGGACGGCGACATAATATCAGGGTTAAACTGAGCGATCAGCCTGGGTGCTTGATTCGCCGACGACCACCTACTGAGCGATCAGCCTGTGTGCTTGATTCGCCGACAACCACCGCAAAATCCTGGTTAGGCCAGGTACCCCAACGCCTCTTAAAGAGCCCTGTGCTGAGCAAGACGCTGCAGCTAAATTAACTGTAGGGAAGGGCCTACATTACCCGTACAACGGAAGAGAGCTTGGAGCTCTATTGTACTGATCACTCTAGGAGAGATCACCACACCCCCCGATCCTCTGCTACACGATCAGAAGCCCTGAGGCAGCAGGCATCCTACAGGCCTAGAGACAGCAGGCCTACCGACCAATCAGCTGCACCGCCAGCAGCACCACCGCCCCATCTGCTTCACCCTCTCGGGACCTAAAGCAGCATCACCAATCAATCGGCTGCACCGCCAGCAGCA